GAGATACTTTCATCTGAGGCCCTGTGACACCCATCCATTTCTTGCCTTGGGCCCAGGGTCTTACCTGGTACCTGGGCCTGAGCTGGACTTTATGGTTGGGAAGGAAGAGTATGAACCTGGGGCCTGGGAAGCTCTCTCACAGAACATTGAGTAACTCCAAGGCACAAGGACTCGGTTGCCAATAGTGGTGTGAAGAGGGGGTGCTCAGTCCGGGAATGGGGTTGGTGAAATTGGCTGGGTGAGGCCTTCCCTCCTGCAATCTAGTTGCCTATTGCCTTCCATCTTTCTCTTAGCTCTCTTTTCTCATCTCTTTATAACTAACACACAATCTGAATACACCTTAGACAAAGCTCAACTAGCCTTCACCAAACTAGCCTTTTCTGATGACTTTCATATGCCACTTTCACATGGTAACCATGAAAGTCAGCAAGAGGTGTTGTTAATCCTCACTGTATAGACATGAAAACCACAGTTCAGAGAAGGAAGCAAGTTGCCTAAGATCACTTAGGCAGCAAGCAGGGAAGCCGGCTTTGTTCCACTTCGTTATCATCATTGGGCACCATTACAATTCCTCAATGGGATATGTGCTGCCTTTTTCCTGGGTGCATAAACTCTACCCTCATTCACAGAGTGTTTGCAAGGAGCAGAAGCCCCGCTTTTTGTCTCATTCCTTCTGTGCTAAGAGGAATGTAGATGCAGACATTGTCATTGACCTCTGAAACTATGTGCTGCTGCTCTGCAATCCTTTTTCGACACTCCTTGAGCCTGTGCCCATGGCTCTGAGGCCTGATTTGCCTGTGAAGTTTTCTAATACCCGCTCCCCTGGTTCTCCAGGGAGAGTCTGAGCTTCAAACTTGGTGGAATCCAGTGTGTGTCAGCTGAGTGCTGTTACTGACCTGTCCTGGCACATCACTCCAGCTTTGGCCAGAGCATCGCCTGCAAAAGATAGCTGTTGAAACTGCTAGCAGTCAGTCATGCCATGGAATCTGCACATCTGGACACAGAGGTTAGGGCCAGGGGCCACAGACATTCCTACCTCACTCGCCTCAGCCTGCCCGGTGTCACTCTTACTGCTGGGCATATAAGCTAATCCTTAGTCTACGCTGCCTGGGTTCCAGCCTCAGGTGAATTGACTCTACTGTCAGTAGAGTAGACAGGAGGGTCAATAGAGTAGACAGGAGGTGGGGTCGCTCCTGGTCCAGCCTGAGCAGGCTGGGACGGGTTAGAGGGACGAAGGCAAAGTACCATAGTTCAACCCTTAATCACCAAGACATATGCTCCTGACTGTTCCATCCTGGAGGGAGCCTCAGGGCCTCCTTAGCCCTTCATGAGATGGTGTATTGTCAGGAGCCAGTGTCCCTGACATCCTGTTCAGCAATAACCCATTACATTCTCTAGATTCCTGCTAAGGAGGGCTGCTGGGGAATTTAGGCTGTAGCCCTGCTCCAAACTCCTTTGCTCTTTTGTCTTGGAGCAATTGCAGCCCCCTTGAAAATTCTGCTTCTAACCTCATTTCCCTGAGCCTTTTGGCTAATTCTGGGAGTGGTGTGTGTGCAGGCATTGCTCAGACCCAGAGGAAGTACTAACTGGGCCTCTTTCTCCAGTTTCCCCTTTTTCTTTTGGATGCTTCAGAATCAGAGTTGGATTCTGAAGGGAACATAGTTACTGAGTGCTTGATACCTATGTCAAGGGATTTTCTTTTCTCCAGTGTTTCACTTAAACGCTCTCAGTAGCTGTAAGAATCAGATGCCATGACCCCCATTTTACAGAGGAAGAAATGGAAGGAGGCTCTGTAACTTGCCCATAGTCAAATAGCTAATGACTGACAGAATCAGGATTTGAGTGGTCTTGTGATTCCACTAGACCACAAGGAACAGAAAAGGCTGGGAGGCTAGAGTTGGTTCCTTTGAGTCTAAGACTCTTGTTTGTCTGGCATCTGAGGGCAGACGGCATAATGCAGTGGAAAGGCACATGGAATTAAAAGGTCAGGGTTGTAGTCTTAGCTGTAACACTTAACTCTGAGTGACCTTGATCACAAGGGACCTGAGGTCCCTTAGGCCTCAGTGTGTCCCATACTATAACTTAAAAAAATACTGATGTGGGGGGTCCTACCACAGACCAATTAAATTAGCCTTCTGGGAAGGGGGCCCCGGGTACTGGTATTTTGAAAACGCTTCCTACCTGATTCTAATGTGCATCCAGGAATGAGAACTGCTGAGCTATGTGATTTAGATGAATTCTTCCCAATTGAAATGTGTGTGCAAATTGCAGAAGGATCTAGGAAAGTGTAATTTGTGATTCAGTAGGTTTGGGACAGGAAAGGGTCTGGGATTCTGCATTTCTAACAAGTGCCCAGGTGATATTGATGTGACTGGTCTGGGACCATACTTTGAGTAGCAAGGTGCTAGAGGGTTCTAGATAGGAATGAACTAACTGGTGCTCACCTAAGTGAGCTGGTCTCCTTCTTGTCAGCCCCAGCTAGGACCACTACCTAACATTAGTGGAGCAGGCTGGCAGAGCCTGTCACTCTTCCACAGGCCCTGTGGCTTGAGCAGATGGTACAGATGTGTGAGCTCTAGGATTTAATTACTACATTCTTTTCCTTTTTTCAGGCTGAGGAAGGGAGGAGTAGGGGAGGGGGCACTTCTCTCCCTACCTCTCCTCTGTTCAGCCTGGCATTGTGACTGGCTGAGGTTTGCAGTGGAGTTTCAAGGGTATGTTCCTGGCATGTAGGGAATTGACTCCCCTGCCTGGAGTGGCCATACCAGACCTGGTCACAGGAGGAGAAATTCTGGAAATTCTGACCTAGTCTATCTTTGGCACCTCCCTTTTTGTCTTGATGACAGGGAGGCAGAGCCAGCTGCCAGGAAGGGCACTGAAATCCGGGAAGTATCTTCTGGGGCTTATGGCACAGACAGGGGACAGGGAAGTGGTTATGGCAGCCAGCTCAGCAAAACCATATAGTTCAGATCCTCCCCCTGCTGGTGTTCAGTTCCTTCCCCTTCCTGCTGGTCTAACATCTCCCAGACCTGGAGAGGTGGATCTTTCTCAGGCCTGCATCGCCCCCTGCCAGAAAGGCTGAGGTACTGCTAGCAGAATTCTGTTAGACACTTTCAGGTCCCTCTCAGAGGTCCTGCTAGAGACTATATCGCTCTCATAGGTTAGGAAATTGCAGTAAGAAGAAACACGTGCATATGCACTCGCTTGCACATGTGCGTGCACACACACACACACACACACACACACACACACACACACAGAGATGTGGGTTCATGCGCAGAGCAGTGCACCTGCAGGAATATATAGGTGCATGATCCCACACTGATCCTCATAGATCATGGCCTTGAGCAAACGTGGCTCCAGCTATATGCAGAGACAGATGCTGAATGGGTACTGACCTGATGCAGACACTAATGGAAAGGCACAGATGTTCATCCCTGTCCTACTCCTGTTTGTCCCCAAAGTCTGCTGGGGCTCCAGGGGTTGCCAGACCTTCTCTCCACTCACCTCACCCCCAGTCATTATCACTGTGTGATACTTGAGGAGCCTGTGATTGTTTGTGGCTGCCTTCCACCTTCTCCTGCTCTTGTCTACTTGCCTGTCATCTCTGAAAGAGTATTTTAAGAGTCCTTTGTCTTATTAGCCCTGGCTGCCAGGATCTCCTCCTAGATTTCCTTGTGAGAAGAGAGAGCTCTTCCTGTCTTGGAAAACCCCCACCAGTCTCCTTAGATTTCTGGTCAGCAGGGCTGCCACAGGCACTAAGGAAATGAAGGAAGTATTGAGGGCAGAACCTCACGGTCAAAGCAGCTCTGCTGAAGCCAGCAGCCTTTCCCCACCAACCGCACAATGCCAGGGTCTGTGGTCGCAATCCCACAGGTCCTTCGGTAGCAAGGGACTGCCTGGGCGGTCCCAGAACTTTGCTGCTGGTATTGAACCTACTCTGGTGTCCAGGAGGGCCTTCTCTGTGGCTTCAGTCTGGTTGAGTATTTCCACTGAAGCTGGCAGCAGTCACCAACTCTGTGCCTAGCACTCCCAGAGCAGAGGAGGGAGGCTGACCCAGCTATTGCCCTCCAAGATTCCTGTAGGCCAGCACTATGTCGGCACAATATTCAGCACTGGATTGTGCCACAAATAGAGGCACCAAGGAGGCTTGTGGCTGTCCTGGGAAGCCCCCTGGGGAGGGAGGACTGGAACTTGATGAGTGATCAGGGAAGAAGAGCACTTGGGCAGGAAACCAAAACTGGGGTTAAACTGAATTTGGATTCTAGCCCCAGCACTACCACTTTGTCTGCTGTGAGATTGTAGACAGTCATTTCCTTTTTTTCTTTTCTTTTCTTTTTTTGGTTTTTGAGACAGGGATTTACTATGTAGCTCAGGCTGGCCTTGAACTCAACGATCCTCCAGCATTAGCCTTCTGAGTGCTGAGATTACACACATAGGCCACCATACCTGGCTTGAGTCACTTTCTTTCCAAGCCTGTTGTATAGCTATACATACAGTGGTGGTAGTGAAACCTTTGCTGGTGATTGTATGCATTAAATGAGATTTGGCTGGAGGATGTTAGGTATGATGATGAGAAAGGGAATAATAAATATTTTGAACATTTCATGTCTCCTAGCTGGATTAGGATGCTCTTACCAGGGCTGTGGAAGGGTGGCTCCCTGAGAAGGCTGGGGGTAGGGGACACAGCTGTAGCTTCTTATACTAGCAGTGGTCCTTGACTCCAGATGATCCTGGAAGTTGCTGCTGGTGTTGGGTTCTGTTCTTGGGCAAGGGACAGAGAGTGGGAGGGGTTTGGAACAGGCAGAAAATGAGGCTCAAGAAAGCCGTGGCCAGGACAGAGTAGGGCTCAGGGAGCAGAGGGTGTCCTAGCTGGCTGTGACCTGGAGCAAATATGTGCCAGCCCCTCTGTGCCTCCTTTGCCATTTCTGAATCACCTGCCACAATGCTCTGCTAACCTTATTTCTCTACCTGTTTTCTTTCACCCTGTTCTGTTTTAGAAGCTGAGGCTAAGAAAGCTTGTGAATGGCTCCGAGCAACAGGATTTCCTCAATATGCTCAACTTTTTGAAGGTAAGGACACTAATTGTTTGCCTTTCCCCATTCCAAAACTTTGTTTTTCCTGCAACTTTTCTTCTGTAAAATGGGCAAATCACATCCTTTCTCTAACCACACCAGAAGCTACTGTGTATCCTGGCCCTGCTCAAATTTACTCAGGGCCTTTACTCCTGAAGTTACAACTCCTCTCTTCTACATCATCATCTCTGCTGGATCATTCTCATCAGCTTCCACAGGCTCTGGTGTTTTAAAGAACCTGTCTTGCCTGGGGCCACTGCTCTGTGCCACTTCTAAGGATGCCATTCACATAGATACAATGGGAAGGCTGTCCCCTGAAAATGTTTACCTTGGCCTAACATGGACCTCACTTTGCCCACAGTGATGGTCTCATTTTCCTTCATTTCTCTGTTTTTCTTAGGGATCATAATTGCTTTTTCCCCTTCCCCTCTTTTTCCCATGCTCCCATTGTGCTCTGGCTTTACCCCTACCTCACCTTGTCAAGCACACCAGTGACCTCCATGGAGTCAGATTCAGTGTTCATTTCCCAGTTCTCTTTATCTCTCAGCAGCATTCATTGCAGGTGCCCTCTCTTTCCTTTGGCTTCTGAAGCACTCCCCTTCTGGCTTCCTCTCTGGCTGCTGATGTCAGTCTCCTTAAATTACTCTGTTTTCTCTAACCAACATCTAAGTACTAGGGTGTCTCAGGCCTCAGCTTAGGTCTTCTACTCTCTCATTTTTTCCATGAGATCCTTGTTTAAGTACATCTGCACTCTGATGACTCCCAAATGTGTTATCCAGACCTCATTCCCAAGATCCTACTTCATCTATTCAGACACCAATTCAGTATCTCTGCTCAGCTGTCCAGCATATCCAATAAATGAGATTTAACAGGTTTAAAACTGACCTGCTGGTACCACCAACATTTGATCAGGGCACCGCCATCCACCCACTTGTTAACGCCCCATATCCAGGAGTCATCCTTAATTCCTTTCTTCCTTTGTACCATCTGTTTAACCTTTCTGCAAGTCCTTTCTCCTTCCAGAATATGTTTTCAATGGATCCACTTCTCAGCACCTCCACTGCTACATCAGGTGTGAACCACCATCACCACTTGCTTAGACTAGTGTGCCAGCCTCCTTTTTTTTGTTAGTGTTGTGCTAGGGGTTGAACTCAGAGATTTGTGCTTGCTAGGCAGGCTCTCTACCACTTGAGCTACATATACAGCCCTTTTTTGCTCTGGTTATTTTGCCCAGGCAAATCTGGACCATGATCCTCCTACGCTAAGCTTCCCGAGATTGCTGGGATGACAGGTGTGTGCCACGATGCCCAGCTTTTTTCCATTGAAATGGTGTCTCTACAAATGTTTTTGCCTGGGTTGGCCTGGAACTGAGATCCACCTGATCTTAGCCTCCCTTGTAGCTTGGGATGAGAGGTGCATCTTGCAAACTTCCTGCCTGGGCTGGCCTTGAACCATGATCCTCCCAATCTCAATCTCCCAAATAGCTGGGATGAAAGGCATGAGCACCTTCTCTGCCAGCTCCTTCTTAACCTCTGTGCTTTTGCTTTTGCCCTCCTGTACTTTTGACTCTTCACCACAGCAAGAAGGATCTGTGTCACTCTGCTTCGATAAGTGAAATAAGCACAAATGTTGTACTGTGGGCTGACAAGACTGCATTATCTGCCTTCCATTTTTGACTACACTCATTGCATTCCAGGATCCTTTCTACTCTTTGCTCCTCAGAGCCTTGATGTTGGTGTTACTTCTACCTGAAACTCTCGCTAGTTTCTCTGCACAGCTGTTTATTCTCAGCCTTCAGGACTCAGTCAGAAGCCACCTTTTCAGAAAGGCTTGTGCTGACCACCTCTCTCCAAAAGTCCACACCCCCTCCAGCCTCTCTCTACCCTGTCACTTTGGCTCATGTCTTTCATGGTTTCATGCTTGCTTATTGTCTGTTTCCTATTAGACTATAAACTCTCTGAAGGCAGGGACCATTTTCACTGTGTTCACTACAGTATTCCTGGCATGAAGTGGTATCAGTATTCATTGAATGAGTAAATGAGTGAATGGGCTTGCTTTACCAGTAAGACAGAATTGTGGGACTTCTCGAGTTCTCTCTCCCTCTCTCCTCACTCCTTTCTCCTTTCTCTTTCCCAAGTCCCAGGGAGAGGGCCCCACTGCTCTGGACAATAGAGGGGTATTGTTTAGCTATATGCTGTGCCTTCTATTCTTATTTCCTCCCTACTTCCCCCAGTGCATCTTGGGCCAGGGAGGAGGTTCCCTATCTGATTGCCCAGAACTCAAATGAGAGAAAAGAACCCAGGTTGGCTCTTGACAGCCAGCCAGGGTCTCAGGCCTGCTTTCCCCTGTGGACCTGTCTCACTGACTGACATAATCCTTCAGTCCAGCTCCTGGCTCCTAGTCTCTCTGCTTTTCCCCCAACTGCCAGCCCAGAGTTCCCTGAGTCCCTCTTGTGTTTGTCAATTTTCTGTTACTATGACAAAATTACCTGAAATACATATCTGAAAAGGAGGAAAGATTTATTTTGGCTTATGGTTTCAGACATTTCAGTCTATGTTTGCTTGACACCATTGCTCTGGGCCTATGAAGAGGCAGAACATCATGGCAGATGTGTAGGAAAGCTGCTCATCTCATGGTGGGCTGGGAATCAGGGAGAGAGGAAGGGGCTGGGATTCCAATACCCCTTAAGAGGGCATTCCTCCAATGACCCAACTTTCTTTTACTGGGTCCCACCTCCTAAATGTTCCACTACCTCCTGACAGTGCCATTAACTAGAGATCTTATGTTCCAAACCCTAACACCAATGCTTTTACTCCTGGCTTTTCCTTATTCTGTGGCTCTTGCCTTCCCACTTCTCCTCCCCCTTATAGCTCAAGGGCTTCTCAGGCTGAATTTCTGATCCCCTGCCAGACTCATCTTTACGTCTCTCTGCCACACAGAAGGTGCATTTCCCCTGGATATCAGCTCTGTGAAGAAGAACCACAGATTTCTGGACGAGGACTCTCTGGGGGCCCTGAGCAGGTAGGGGGATGAGGGCCAGGCCTAGGAAACTAAGGGCCCACTTAAGGGTTTCATCATGGAAAAAAATCATCCCTCTTACTAACAGAGGAGGAACACAGATTATTAGCGAGAGTCAGCTTCTGCAGTTACTTTCCTCATTCTGTTTTCTGTGTCTGTGACTTCCTCACCTACCCTACTACTCTAGCTAGAAAGCCCAGACTGGCCTCGATTTTAACAGAATTCCCTCAAACATGTTTCAGATTCAGTCTCTCCATTTTTGTCTGAGACCAAACTATAATTTCTTTTTGGATCTAAAGTAACCTCCTAAGTAGCTTTGGTCTCTGTATTCCAACCCCCATCTATTCTATCTATAGCTACCAGGGTCAGCTCTTAAAAAATTTTGTCCTTTCCTGCTAGAACATCAGTTTCACATGAGGCAGAGATTATTTTTATTAGCATACATTAATTGTACAGGGGCTTTGTTGTGGTATTTCCATAGGTGCATATGATATACCTTGAATAAGTTCACCCCTTCTATTACCCTTAATCCCCTGTCTCCTCCCCCTTTTCAAACAGTATTTAGTGGTATATATATACAATGGAGTATTATTCAGCCATAAAGAAGAGTGAAAATATATTGTTTGTAGGAAAATGGATGGAACCAGAAATCATCATGTTGAGCTATATAAGCCAAGCTTAAAAAGCCAAACACTACCTGTTTTCACTCATATGTGGACTCTGTACCTAAAATTATAATACTCATAATCATAACCATAATAATGGGGCAGAGTCAGCTTTTTAAAGCCCCAAGTGGGTGCTCCTTTGTTTAAAATCTGTCACTGCCTACATACAAAAGTGCAAAGCTTTTACCATGATACCTGAGGCCCTTTGCCAGATGGCGTTTGACATACCTTAACAGCCTTGATCCCACTCACTCTCACTGGTCTACTTACTGACCGTGTCTCTCTCTTCCTTGTCACAGGCTCCCATAGAAGCCAGGGATAGAAGTCTGTATTTCTCTCACCCTCCAAATCCCATTTCTGTCATCCTCTGGCTATGGTCCATCTCTTCATGGGAGTTCCTTGTCCCACTCTCCATGTGTCTGCTGTACCTTCTGCCTGTTCTGTTCTTAAACCTGTCCCATTTTTGTTATGGTTTATTTCCATGTCTATAAGCTCCTGGAGGACAGAGACCATACTTCCTAGCATCATGTCCACTACTTAAGCTTTCATGGACAGTAGGGCTTGGGAGAAGCTTTGATGGCTCAGCTATGTGAATTGGTGGGTGGCCACTTGAGAACGTCTTTGTAGGCTATGCCAGGCTTTGAGGGTTGGGAGCCTTAAGTAAACACTTTCTTTTTGTTGCAGGAGGCTGATGACCTTGAATAATTGTGCCTCAATGAAGCTGGAGGTTCATTTTCAATGCAAGCAGGTGAATCCTGGCAAGGGTGGGGTCTTGTAGGCTTATGACACATGGGACTGAGGACTTGGCCTTGCAAGAACATGCTCCCATGATGTGCCTAAACTACTTCTGAATTAGCTCCAGTATCCTGGCAGTCTGGAGTGTCCAGAACAGTGCCTTGCTCTAGCCTGGGGGTGGAAATGTAAGAAGCCCCCTCTACAGCAGGCTCTGTGAGATCTCTGGGAGTTTGGTGAGCCTCATCAACAAGAGAGAGTATGAGAGCAAGTAGCCTGGCCCTTGTCTCTCACTGCCCCTACTTAGCCTACCTCTCCTTTTTGGATTTGCCAACAACTTGACCTAGTAATGGCCCTCCCTAGGGCAAGCCATCTGCCCTCACTACTTGGTTTGGGATGGCTAAAATTACTTAAATGAGGACAGAGACAGAATATTGTGGTAGAAAGATTGTGGCCTCTATAGTCTTTGAAGTCAGGAACCCCACAATCATACCCCCATAAGGTCTTACCCCTCTGGGCCTCATTTTTCCCATTCTATAATGAATTGGGAGGCTGGATTAGTAGCCTCCAAAGGCCTTTCCAACTCTGCCATTCTGGGGTTATAGAAATCATGGGAACTCTTGGTTTGTACATAACCTTGGAAAGCAGACTTCATGATCCCATTGTTCCCTGGAGACAAGGTTTGTTAGTTTCTTCTGGGGATTTTTCCACCAGAGGTCTGCAGTCAGATGGGGCAGCCATGTTGCCAGAGTGCTGGCCTGCGAATCAGGAGAGTCATGGAATCTGGTCCTAGCTTGGCCACTGACTGCTGAGTGACCTTGACAAGCCTCTTTCCCTGTTTGGGCCTCAGTTTCCTTGCTTTGCCACAGAGGTGATGAATTAGAAAATCTAGATTACCCTCCAGCTCTTGAGTCCTGTAATTCTAATCTAAGACTATAAGCCTAAACACTTAGGAGGCTCTGACACTGATGGCCTGCATGTCATTGTATGACCTCGGGCAAGTGGCTTCTCATTTGAAGGTGTCACTTTCCTTATCTGTGGAATGAGAGAGTAAATGAATCAGATGATTGTTACCATACAGTTGGGCTCTGTCTGTGACTTCTGGCTTCCTCCAGTCCTCTCAGAGCCAGCTCCCCACTCCTAGGCCAGGTCTTCCACCAGAAAGCAATCTCCTTTACCTCAAAGCCCCCCAAGAGTTTGGAGGCAGAGTGGAGTACCAGGTAGGACTGCAGGTTGGGCTTCTCTAACTCCTCCCTGTGGTGCTTCCCCAGAATGAAGACTCAGAAGAGGAAGAGCAGTGTACCATCAGCAGCCACTGGGCCTTCCAGCAGGAAAGCAAGCATGCATCTCCCATGGGCTCCTGTGCCCTGCTGGCCCCACCAAGCCCTAGCTTGCTGGGGACCTCAAGCTGTGAGAGTGTCCTCACTGAGCTTAGCATCACCTCCCTGCCAACCATCACCGTGAGCCTTCCACCTGAGCCAGCAAACCTGTCCTTGCTAGGCCATGTCCCCAGCCCAAATGATCAGCCTCGCCTCAGCCCCACTCAGGGCCAGGAGGGTCCCCAGGATAAAGCTAAGAAGCACCGTTCCCGTAGCTTCCTCAAGCACCTTGAGTCTCTGAGACGGAAGGAAAAGTGTGATAGCCGGCAAACAGAGCCTGAGCGAAGCGCAGCCACCTCAGAGAAGGCCACCAAAGGCTCATCTTTCCGCAGTTGCCGTGGCTTCCTCTCGGCTGGATTTTACAGGGCCAAGAACCGAACAGCCACCTCAGCTGGGGGCAGAGATGGTGAGACTCGGAGGGTCTGGGAAGCTTGGCCTGTGGCCACGTTCCGAAGTCCTCAGCAGGTACACCGAGGTAACTGCCTGGTGCATGTGCCTGGGGATCATAAGCCAGGCACATTCCCTCGCTCTCTGTCCATTGAGAGCCTGTGTCCGGAGGATGGACATCGCCTGGCAGATTGGCAGCCTGCTAGGCGCTGGGGCTACGAAGGGCGCCGGGGCTCCTGTGGTTCAACTGGCAGCCATGCGAGCACTTATGACAACTTGCCTGAACTGTACCCAGCTGAACCTGGCCTGGCTGGGGCAGAGGCTGAAGATGAGGAGAAGGATGGGATTAGCTATGCCCACTTAGATGACATCCTCCAGCATGTGTGGGGGCTACAGCAACGGGTAGAACTCTGGTCACAAGCCATGTACCCAGACCTGGGGCCTGGGGGTAAGGAAGAAGAAGAGGAGGAGGAAGAGGAAGAGGAGGAAGCTACTTCATCGGTGGAAATAGCCACAGCTGAGGTGGAAGGCCAGGCTGAGGCTCTGGTCCAGGCAGAGACTCCAGCCTATGGCAAGTTCTCAGCCCAGGTCCAGGTTGAAGTCCAGCCAGTGATCTCAGCACAGACCCCAGCCGAGGCTGAAATGTTGGCACAGGCAAAGGCTGAAGCCCCAGCCATGGCCCAGGACAATGATCAAGAAGCAAACTCAGCTGGGGAACCCACCTCTGCCTCTAGTCTGTCTGTGGAAGGACACTCCATTTCTGACACTGTCGCCTCCTCCAGCGAACTTGACAGTAGCGGAAACTCCATGAATGAGGCTGAGGCTGCAGGGTCCCTGGTGGGACTCCAGGCATCAGTGCCCCGTGAACGGCGTGATTCAGGCGTTGGGGCCTCACTTACCAGACCCTGCAGGTGGGAGTTCGGGATGGGGACAAGGTCAGGAGTCCCTGTTCATTCTCACATTTCTTAGTTGCAAAGCTCAAGGGGCAGGTTCTTGGGGACTGCATGATAACTTCAAGTCAGCCAGTCTCAGGAGAAAAGTAGAAAGAGCACATGACTCAGGAGTTCATATCATTAGGTCCAGGAACAACGGGGGCACCTGGTGTGGCCTTGAGGACATGGTGGCTTGGGCCTCGCTTTCCTCATCTGTGCAGTGAGGGAGTTAGAGATGGTCTCTGCCCCTCAGCTCTGCCAATGAAGGTTTCTTGGAGCAGCCCCTCCACGGTAGACTTAAAATGAGTAGAGGGCTGACACTGCCTTTTGGCATGAATGGGCTTGAGCTCAGGGCCATTCTCCCTGGGACTCTCTTGGCCCTTTGGTGTCCAGGGAGCTGAGACCAAGCTTTTTTTGGTGGTACTGGGATTTGAACTCAGGGCCTTGCACTTGCTAGGCAGGCGTGCTACCATTCCTCCAGTGCTCGAGATAGCTTTTTTGACCCTGGTGCTCCTACCTCTCTATATTTTCTTTCTTTTGGGGGAAAAAAGGTGGACTGGAAGGACACAGCCAAACCTGTGTCTTCTACCTTCTCCACCCCTCTCACCCCCACCAGGAAGCTCCGTTGGCACAGCTTTCAGAACTCCCACCGGCCCAGCCTTAACTCAGAGTCACTGGAAATCAACCGACAGTTTGCAGGCCAGATCAATCTTCTGCACAAGGGCTCACTGCTGAGGCTCACCGCCTTCATGGAGAAGTACACTGTGCCCCACAAACAGAGCTGGGGCTGGTGAGTGGCCTCTGGGCAGTGGGAACAGGAGCTGCTGACTCCCATCCAGGGCCCCATGAGCATAGCCCAGAGGCAGAAACAGGCAGGCTGAGCCTACAGAGCAGTAGAGTGGTGTGCTGTGCCAGGAGGCTGGATGTGGGGTGGGGAACCTTAGGTCCTCCAGTTGTCCCTTCTTCATCCCAGCCTCTATGCTTCCATCAGTGAGATGGTTCTGAAATGCAGCTTTGGTTGTCATCTGGGTAAATAAGCAGCCCTGTGGCTTCCTGTTGTTCAGATTCCTTTCTGTCATGATCCTCTCATGTTCTAGGCCAGCTCCATCCTTCTTGCCCTTCATCCCACCACTCTCAAGCAATGCCATCTTAAGGCCAGTGTGACTAGGCAACCTTTCCTGGATGTGCCATGTGATTTCTCCTGCCTCTTTGCTTTTGTTTATGCTGTGCTCTCTGCCTGGAATGCCTTTTCCCCATTTATCCTCTGGGCCAACACCCTCCTGTCCCTCAAGAGCCTGCTGAGTTCCCACCTCCTCTCTGCAGCCATCCCCAAGCTACTAGGTACCCTTGTCCACCCTCATGGTTCTTCCCTGAAGTTCTTGGCCTAATACTGCCTATTGACACAACTATCTCCTTGAGCTGACCAGAGCTCTCTGTGTCTCCCACAGACTGGGCCCAAAGCAGGTTCTCTTTAAGTTTTGGCTCTGGGGATGTGGTGTGCACCTTATTCCCCACACCCCAACTCTTGAGGCTATAGATAGTCTCCAGATTGTGTCCCTCTCCTGATCATTTGTCCATTACCCAAACAGGTCAGTACCCAAGTTTATGAAAAGGAACAAGACCCCGGACTACCGGGGACAGCATGTATTTGGGGTGCCACCTCTCATCCATGTGCAGCGCACAGGCCAACCATTGCCACAGAGCATTCAGCAAGCCATGCGCTACTTGCGTAGCCAGTGCCTGGACCAGGTGAGCCCTCCCCAGGAAGCCTACAGAGAGATGGTGTCAGGGGATGGGGGGAGGCCCAGGGCCAAGCAGGAACTGCTCTGGTTTTCCCTTGGGTTGGGCTGTCCACCGGCCCAGCAAGAATGGAGCCAAAGCTCCCCTCCTTACAGCCAGAACCTCTGTGGCAGCTTCCTCTTGGCCCGGGCTCTGTAGTCCCATGGTCTAGGAGCCTGCCTCAGCCTAATGTCACCTCTTCCTTCTCATCTCCATGACAGCCATCTTACTTGTTGGCTCCCAGTCTATAAAAAGCCTTCTCTTTGGTCTTGCCTACCCAGCTCAGCAGGAAGCCTGCCAGGGTTCACAGTTTAGTGTGGCCTATGCTCCTGACACCCAGTCCAGAGCTGGCCTCACAGTCTCCCTCCTCTGAATGGGCCAGGTGGGCATCTTCCGCAAGTCTGGGGTTAAGTCCAGGATCCAGAGCCTGCGTCAGATGAATGAGACCTCCCCTGACAATGTCTGCTACGAGGGCCAGTCGGCTTACGATGTGGCTGACCTGCTAAAGCAGTACTTCCGGGATCTGCCTGAGCCCATCTTCACTAGCAAGCTCACCACCACTTTCCTGCAGATCTATCAGCGTGAGTCCCCTGTACTTCTCCCCATCCACCTGCCCTATTCTTAGTCTGCCTAGTTTTGAGGGCTTGAGGGAGATAAGCCTGTGGCTCGACCCTTGAACTCATGGGAACATTTACTCTCTAGGGTTAGAAAGGCACTTTGGAGAATAGCCATATTCTACTGTTCCCCCAAACCCATTTATATGGCAGTGTAGACTGAGGTCCTGAGGAAAGGAAGGGGCTTATCTAAGGCTGCACAACACAATGAGAGGAGCTAGAGCTAATATCTGGAGGTCTCCCAGAGCCAACCTGTTCCTTCTCAGTCCCCTGGGGACTGCCAGATCTTGTGCATTTTTGGAAGCAGGATGCTGACACCTTTGGGGAAGTAAGGAAGGCCCTTTTGCCCTTCCTTCCCTCCAGTCCTCCCCAAGGATCAGTGGTTGGCAGCAGCGCAAGCTGCCACTTTGCTGCTCCCTGATGAAAACCGGGAAGTGCTACAGACCCTGCTCTACTTCTTAAGTGACATTGCCTCTGCTGAGGAAAACCAGATGACAGCTGGCAACCTGGCAGTGTGCCTGGCACCCTCCATCTTCCACCTCAACGTCTCCAAGAAGGACAGCCCCTCACCCAGGTGAAACAGGGCAGGGCATGTCAGGACCATGCTGGGAGGGTTTGGCTTCAGTGGATTTTTTGCCTTTAGGGGCTGCCAGTCTTATCCCAAGGGAGTCAGCCTGATTCCTCAGGGGTCTGGGGCTGGTTGGCTACTGTGAAGCAGAACCTTTCTAAAAGATAGCAGGTAGCTTTTTGGGCAGGACTGGCAAACTGGCTTCCTCGGAGCTAGAAGGCAGCTGTCAGCTGTCTGATCTTGTACCCCGGTGCCATGTTCTCCTCTCCCTCCAGGATCAAGAGCAAAAGAAGCCTGGTTGGCCGGCCAGGTCCTAGGGACTTGAGTGACAACATGGCTGCCACCCAGGGCCTATCACACATGATTAGCGACTGCAAGAAACTTTTCCAGGTGAGTCAGCCCTGGCCAAGGTGACTACTTACCAGATCCACCAGAAACATCAGGCCTGATCTTAGAATGTCAAGTCAGGGAAGAGGCCCAACTTGACACTACCCCTCAAGCTCCTGTTTCCAGTTCTTTCCCCCATCCACCTCACTGCAGTAGTCTTTTCGCTGCCCTTAGTACAGACTTGATAGACCCTAGGAGATTTCTGCTCCTTGTGGCCCCCTGCCCAATGTGTGTGTGCCCTCTCAGGTACCCCAGGACATGGTGGTGCAACTGTGTGGCTTGTATAGTGCTGCTGAGCTCAGCCCTCCTGGCCCAGCCCTGGCTGAGTTGCGGCAGGCACAGGCAGCTGGGCTGAGCCTGAGTCTCTACATGGAGGAGTGCGTGCAGGAGCTGCTGCGGGATGCTGCTGAGCGCTTCAAAGGCTGGACAAGCGTGCCAGGGCCTCAGTGCACGGAGCTGGCCTGCAGGAAGGTGGGCGCCACATTCCCTGTGTTTTCTCTGGGGTTGGGAAAGGGCAGGGTGTAGGCCACAAAAGCTGCTCTGCCAGCCTCACCAAGCCTGGGCCTCATACTTGGAGGGTATCAGCCAGCCAAGCAAGTGCCTCAAGGAATCAAGAGCCAAATGAGCCCAAGGGACCTCTCCCAGGGCCACCTTCCAGAATCATCCCCCAAAAGCTTCATTCAGGACATGATACTACTGTAATAGCCTCAGCACCCACTTGCACCCAGTCAAACACCTTGCATTTCTGCCTTTTGTTTCTGCTTATGCCATCCTATGGCCAGGCCTGGCCTGCCCCAGGCATGACATTTCCAAGACTACCTTCTCAGACTCCTCCTCCATTCAAAGCCTCATGTCAGGGCCTTGGTTGGAGGTGGTTTCTTTCCATGCCCCTCTCTTCCATCACTGGTGATGCTGATTCGGAGTAAGATTGCAAGCCTGAGGTTTTCCATGCATAAAATGCTCATGACAAAACCTCCCCCACAGAATTGAGGTGGAAGACCTTGCACAGAGCCTGGCAGGTTCAAGAGGCTCCATAAGTGGCCACTTTTGCTGTGGTGCTTGAATCATTTCCTATGCTAGATGACATGTCTCTCCAGGATGACCTCTGCCTTCTCTTCCTGCTTACTGCTGGAAATTCCATGTGCTGTACCAATGTCACGGCAGGGCCCCAAAGGTCTGTGGGAAAGTGCGTCAGCTTCTCTCTGTGCTCTCGAGTAGGCTGAGGAGCAGGCGTCTGGGAAGGAAGGCAAGGATGGGGCCCTGCTGGCCCTGCATGATCTGTCTAGTGTGAGCAGAGGAGCCTGACAAGCCTTCCCATCAAGGGTTGGAGTGAGGGGGCTCCAGGCCCTGCAGTTTGAGGCCCTGGGCAGGGGCTGGAGTTGCAGTTCTCCAGCCTGACATTGGTCCCCATCCCAACCTGTGACTTGCAGGCACCAGATGGGCACCCACTGCGCATATGGAAGGCATCCACAGAGGTGGCAGCCCCTCCATCTGTGGTCCTCCATCGTGTCCTACGGGAGCGGGCCCTTTGGGATGAAGACCTGCTACGGGCCCAGGTGCTTGAAGCATTGATGCCAGGGGTGGAGCTGTATCACTACGTTACTGACAGCATGGCACCCCATCCTTGTCGTGACTTCGTGGTGTTGCGGTGAGACACTCCAGCTGCCCCCTACTGTGGCTGGGGACCAGAGAGATGGGATGGGAGCCAGCAGTAGGAACCTGAGCATGTGTTCTTCCCACAGGATGTGGCGTTCTGACCTGCCTCGTGGAGGGTGCCTGCTTGTTTCCCAGTCCCTGGATCCCGAGCAACCAGTGCCAGAGTCGGGGGTGCGGGCCCTCATGCTCACTTCCCAGTACCTAATGGAGCCTTGTGGCCTGGGCCGGTCCCGCCTCACACACATCTGCCGTGCTGACCTCAGGTACCAGGCCCAGAACAGCCTGCCTCGTCCCTTTGGCCCTAGCCTCCTGCCCCTCAAGGGCCTCTGCTCCTACTTTTTTACCCCATACCATTATGCCCAACATGAGGGAAACTCCTTTTTCCTTCCCCCTGGTGAAAGCTCCAGTGAAAACACCACTGCTCAGGCTTGGTTTCTTTTATCTCCACAGGGGCCGTTCTCCGGACTGGTACAACAAAGTCTTTGGGCACCTGTGTGCCATGGAAGTGGCAAAGATCCGGGACTCCTTCCCTACACTGCAGGCAGCTGGCCCTGAGACAAAGCTGTGAGCCTCAGGCTGCCATTGCCCAGGCTCCCTGGCACCATGGGAGCAAGTAGGAAAGAACAAGAGCAGCCCCCAAGGCTGCTACCAGGGGCAGAGCCAGGCTTGGTGGCTCCAGCTGCCTATCCCCTTACTTCCTAATGCTCTGTACATCCAGGGGAGGGGAAGAGAGGTAGAGAAGTTAGGTGTCCCATGTCCATACCACTTTCATCCCCAATGCTGCATTCTGCTCTCCCAAGAGAAAAGAATCACGTTAATAGCAAGAAGACCGCTGCTGCCTACCCCTGCCAGGAGGCCCTCACTCAGCCTGGAGCCCCAGCAGCCCCCACCTGCAGGGGGAAGGGGGGTGGAGAGCAGTGTGTGGGCCCAGCTCTCTGCCACAGCAAGAGGC